CATCAGGGTATCCCAAAATAGGTGTTTTGCACAGACGGTCCTTGAGCTCCTGGAATGCGATGTTACAACTTTCATCCCAGCAGAAATGTCGCTTCTCCTCGGTTAGCTTATGCAGAGGTTTGGCTATATCTGCAAAGTTCTTCACAAAACGTCGGTAATAGGAGCACAAACCCAAAAATGCTCTAACCTGCGTCTTGTCTTTTGGAACCGGCCAATCCTTTACAGCTGCGATTTTCTCTGGATCCGTGCGGATACCTTCTTCCGACACTACATACCCCAAAAAGTTGACTTGCCGTTTGAATAGTGAACATTTCTTCGGACTCAACTTAAGGTTGGCACTCTTAATCTTCATGAGCACGCGTTCCAGGTTTTGAAGGTGTTCCTCAAACGTACGGCCCACGATGATGATGTCATCCAAGTAGACCAGACAGGCATCGCCAATTAGCCCGGTAAGTACAAGTTCCATCAGCCTTTCAAACGTTGCTGGAGCATTGCACAACCCAAACGGCATTACTTTGAATTGCCACAGACCCTTTCCCGTCGAGAACGCAGTTTTCTCCTTGTCCTTAGGGTCAATTTCAACTTGCCAGTAGCCACTTTTTAGATCCAGCGTGCTAAACCAATTTACTCCTGTAAGCATGTCCAGCGTGTCATCAATTCTTGGCAAGGGATAGCTGTCCTTCTTTGTAACGTCGTTCAGACGGCGGTAATCAACACAGAACCGCATGCTGCCATCCTTCTTCTTTACCAGTACCACGGGTGAACACCATGGACTAGATGAAGGTTCAATAACACCATCCCTCACCATTTCCTCAATCATGGTTTCCACTTCCTTTTCACGTGCTACCGGCAATCGTCTTGGCCGCTGACGGATAGGCAACTCTTCACCTGTGTTTATTTTGTGTTGAACTAAACCAGTCTTTCCTATGTCAGCATCGTTTGATGAGAATACATCGGCGTACTCGAGTAACAACTTCTTCGCCTTCACCAATTCGTTCGGGGACAGAACACTGCGACAGTCTTCCAAAAGTGTGGTCACTCTCGTTTCTGAATCCTTGCTGGGGGTCCCACTCGATATATATTGGCACTGACGTAACCAATCCACTTCCTCACAAGTACCAACCAGTGTACCTTTTTCTATAACCTGTTCCCGGTCGCAAAGGTTCAGCACACGTACTCCTGAGATGTCAGTGGTCCTGACCAAGGTTCGAGCTACTTTCCATGGAAGGTCATTGTTTATCCTTTCCACAAGTACACAACGGTGAGCTTGCCCAGCGTTTCGTGGAAGACTAACCGGAACAATCGTTTCCGATCTCGGCGGAAGAACAATCTTCTTGATGCTGTACACGTTCCCTGGTAACGCACCTTCCATAAAAAGTTCCTCCTGTCCACATTTCAAAACACCTTGCTTAACGTCGATCTCACAACAATTATTCCTCATAAAGTCTAGGCCTAGGATGCAGTCGTCCATTATATCAGCCACGATGACATTATGCAGGTAGATCACGTTGCCTAGCTTCAACTCCATCTCCTTCTCTCCACGGACGGGTATACGCTGACCGGTGGATGTTACCAAATTAATGCGTTCTCGGTTGTATGCGGAGTCCCCAAGGAACTGACTTATAAGTTGGGAACTAACAACCGTACGAGAGGCTCCAGTGTCTATGGTCAGTTTACACGGCATTCCGTTGACCTCGCCCTTGATGATTAGACTGTTCCCATCATGGGTTTGTGAGATCGAGATCCTTGGGGCTCTTTTAATATCAGCCAGCACCCGCCCCGCAGTTCTGGCTTTTACTCGTTTCCCTGCTGCTGCTGGGCGGTGCTGTTGGCCGCACTACCCTCCTGGGATCGTTCACCTTCCCTTTCTAGGGTTCGCTTAGGGCAGCTGGATCGAAGATGGCCCCTTTCCCCACAGCCATAGCACCTAGGGCTGTATCCTTTGTTGCGGTCGCGAACTGTAGCTGCTGCAACCTCCCTGACGCGATGGGAACGATGATCCTGCCGCACGGCTTCTACCTCCAGTGCATGGGCCAAGGCGTCCTTAAGCGTCTCATGGTGCCCGAGCCTCACAGCAGCTCTGACTTCCAGGTCACGGATGCCGTCGATGAATGTCTGCACCAGGTAGGGAACCTGAGCGCAGGTACAGACCGGTATGCCTTTCGCACCAGCTTCTCCACCTCTAGAGCCCACTGCTGCAGGTTTTCGTTGATGCGCTGCACGCGATCTTTAAGCTGCGCACGAAAGACGTGTTCCAGGTGAGCGTCGCCATACCTCGCCTCCAATGCCTCAATGAGTTGCTCATAAGTCACTTCCTCACCGAGAGCTTCCAGAACTGTTAAGGCCTGGTCGCGCAGGCCTAGTGTGAGAGCAGTCATGGCCTGACTTTCATTCCAGCCGTTCGCCTTCATAACAGCCTCGAACTGGATCTTGTAGGCTGACCAGGAAGAGGTACCGTCGAACGGCGGCACTTTGAATCCACGTAGCGAAGGTGTTGTAGCTACTACGGGAGCTGTTGTTCCATCCCCAAGTTTGAGGTCGTCCAGCGTTTTCTTCACGTCAGCCATTACGTTGTCAACCCGATTGTTTACTTGGTCGATTCGGGTTTCGGCCTCCGACAGGCGGTTGTCATGTTGAGCAACCTTATCCTTCACCTCCCGTATCTCTTTTCCGAAGATAGCGTGAAGGTCCTTCATGAGGAGCATCTGCTCTTCCTTATCGCGTTGGAGTTGCTCTTCTAAACGACGGGCCTGTTCCTCCTGCCAGCGGGCCTGTTCCTCCTGCCGGCGGGCCTGTTCCTCCTGCCGGCGGGCCTGTTCCTCCTGCCGGCGGGCCTGTTCCTCTTGTCCGCTTTGCAGCTGCTCTTTCAACTGACGGGCCTGCTCCTCCTGTCGGCGAGCCTGCTCCTCCTGTCGGCGAGCCTGCTCCTGCAGCATCACCATCAGAGCACCTAAGTCAGGTGCTGCAGATGTAGGAGCTACCGACGGGCCTGCAGCCGGTGGCTGGCACTCCGACGTCAGCGGCGTTGCACCACCAAATCTTCGTTGGTCCGTCTCCTGCTGGCGTTGACTTCGGGTACGGACACCCTCCGTTTCCTCCTTAGGTAAAATCGGCATGATTTTATCCCACTTCTGACACCAATTGTTACGAGCTTGAGGTTCGTGACAATAAAAATTGCCGATAAAATTACCTAAATTAACACTTTAATTTACTTTACACAAATTAAAGTTAAAACACTAATAATTTAAACACACTAATTCACTTAATTCCACTCCGAAGCTTCGCTTGTTTCGCCCAAATCAACACTGCCTCCATCGCATCTTGCAGCGCCTATATATTTAAATTAGCAAAGAAATATCCAGAATGTTCAAGTAAACACGCGGAAGGTACCGAGCGTTCGAGTTTCGACTAGGCGCTGTCAGTTGAGCGATTTGTGATGTCATTTTCTCAATGCTCCCCCTCGCTCTCGTTCCTGACACTAGATGGCGCTAGTTGACTTATTCATGCAACAATATAATGAGAATTACAGGGGTATTCGTTGTACACTAATGCAATCACTAATAAATTTTGTCAAGTTACTAATTTAATCTCCATACATTAATACATAACGTTTAAACATCATGTAACAAATTGTATTATTAAGTTATGTAGTTGTTCAGGTAGCAGGTAATGTAAGCTCAAAGCCAAAAACATAGAACCTATAAAAACGTAAGCTATATTATTGTAATAAATAGCGTCGGGTAGCAGAATTCGTACGTCAATCTTCCAATCATTTTGCATAAAATTCATTATCTTCTCTATTTGTACGATGATACAGTGCGTTTTCAAACTGATCACGGTATAACTGCGACATCTTACATTAAGTAGCCTAATTTGCCAGTCAATCTTGGAAATTTTCAAGGGCATGAGAAATATGATCTCTCTTTTTAACACTTACTGTATGGTTCGTACTCAAGCTGATGGCAAGTAACATGAAGTTACAGTTAACTAGCAGCCTATTATAGTCCATTGCAGAATATCGCCGCTTAGAGGGGATATTTGCCATAATTGCCACGCTTCGTAAGCGGGTTGACAAACGTTCGTAGCCGTTGTTGACGTTGGTTAGTTAGTGTATACTGTATAAAAGATCGATGAACACGGTTGTCTTCTACAAAAGTAGCCTAAATAATATTTTAAAATGTATAAATAAAATATAGATACAAAAATGTATATTATATTGTATGTAAATAGTTGATTTGTTATATACAGTCAATAAACTTTTAAATGAGCCTTTAATTGATTTTTAATTTACATGAAGGTTAAAATAACGTTTACATCGATTATAGACAGTCGTAAGCTTGAAATGTATGTAAAATTGTTCATTGGTTTTTCTTTATGGTTATATTTTATTTAAGTCCAAAATGCGACTTATTACGAAATAATATTCTTATATATAGCTCGCGGTCTATCCAACGAAGAACATGTAATGTAACGTGCTATGAAATTTAGCGTGCTGTAAAACTTTACGCGGTGTCCGGCTTCCATCCCACACGCTTTCTTATAATATAGGGTATTTAATAGCGCGCTAGAAATTTATATTTTATAGTCTGTACCGTGCCATTGATTTAAATCCGTTTTCATCATCATCATCATTACAGCCCTTCACAAGTCCATTGCTGAACATAGGCCTCCCCCAAGTAATGCCACAAAGCACGGTCCTGAGCCACCTGCGTATTCATCGACTTCCTGCATATCTTACCAGGTCGTACCTCCATCTAGTGGGGGATCGCCCCACACCACGCCTACGTGTACGAGGCCGCCACTCGAGAACCTTTCTTCCCCATCGGTTATCGGTTCTTCGAACTATATGGCAGGCCCATTGCCACTTCAGCTTACTAATCCGTTGGACTATGTCGGTCACTCTGGTTTTCTGGCTCTCCATAGCTCGCTGAGCGACCTTGAGCGTCCTCATACGGCCAGCAGTGAAAGCCGTTTTGAACAAGTTTAATTGTTTTGCACAGTGCCGCGGCAATGCACGGTATGCGGCGCGCTGGCGCGCTGGGAGTGCGGTGCGTGCGCGGGGGTGGGTGCGGGGGCGGGAGGGGCCGCAGGCGTGGGTGGCGCGCTGGAGGCTGGCGCGCTCTGCACCGCCTGCCTGCGCCTCGCGCACGCTACACGCCCGCACCACAAGGTGAATCTATATACGTAGCCGCACACCCTTCAGATAAATCCGATCATAAACAGATTCTAAGAACCAAGACCGGCTTTCGCATGAATTAAATTACAGACCCGGTTTTCTCCACGCCAGCTATACTGGGAGAGTAAATACGGCTTTAACAAACCTGTGAATAATTTTACATTAAAGTTTTAGGGGAAACCAAATTTTTGAAAGGAAAAGAGAGTAGCTATTGCCAAAAAATGTAAGTTGAAATAAATAAACAGGAAAACTTAGGAAAACAAGCGTAATTCAATTACATATTGAGTCTGAATGTTGATATGACAGCTGAAAACCAGACTTTTTTCATAATTCGTGATTTTTAAACACTCCCGTCAATCAACAAATTATTGCAACTTTCATACGTGGTAGAGCCATGCTGCAGTTATATTGGTAGTATAGTTGTAGCACTAATGGGTCGGCTCGACCGGGGATGGACCACGCTCTCACAGAATACCAGAGTAAAATAGTAGCTTAATGCTGCTGTGTTTCGTCAAAGAATATATACACTACGCGAAAAGAAACGACACTTAAGCATGTGTGCACGTAAAATCGCTTTCGGCTATGTGTGGGTGTCTGGATGTGGGCCTTGAACGGCGCGCGGGGCGTGTAACGGGCAGTCGCCGACTGCCCTGGCCGAGGGCTAGTAAAGATGGGTTAATTAATACCGATATTTGTCAGTATTAGTTAATATGAATATATTCGTCTGGTGATATTATAATATTTCAATTAATATATAAATATTACTGATATCTTAATACGACTGTTATACATATTACTATTCTATAATATATATATATATATATATATATATATATATATAATGAAAATTATAAAATGAATGGAAAAATTCCAAAATATATAAGAGTAAATTAATTTTCAAAGGATAGTAGGTAATACTGATTATTGCGTACTGAAAGACTAATGCATATTTGGTTTTGTCGAAAGTTTTAATATTCCTCATTTGTAGATATTTAATAAAAGTTGATTTCAAATTGAATGTATCTTTCACTACCCAAATACATAAGTTTACATAATATATAACATATACCTACTATGTATCTTCTTTGGTAAAAGTCTATAATATTCCATTTCGGTTCGATATCAACCCTAGCGTTACACGCTTCGACTCAAGGTCACCGGCGCTTAAGCTCTCATGTACAGAGAGTGTCACCGCTGTGGTTTCGTATAGTGAGTGTTGAGAACCGGAGACCCTTTTCACTGGAAACGAGGCATTCCATCTGAGTCCTCACGGCTGATAACACATCCGCATTTTGATTTGTAATCGAGGATGAATAATATAGATGTCTATGGACCGCAGCAACAGGGTACAGCATCCACTTACCATTAGGTGGTCTGTGTGCTCATTTGTCACCCAATCCAATAAAAAGCAACACACTACTTGGGTGACAAACTAGCACACAGTCCACCTGATGATAAGTGGATGCTGTACCCCATAGACATCTACACCTATCCTCGATTAAGAATCAAAATGCAGATGCGTTGTCACCTCTGTGGACTAAGATGAAATGCCTTGTTTCCAGTAAATAGGGTTTCCAGTTCTCTAAACTCACAATACGAAAAACAGCAGAATGGAGCTGCCATTTTACGCTGTTATTCTGTGAGAGCGTGGTCCTTCCCCGGTCGAGCAGATCTATTCGTGCTAGTGCTACAACCATAATATAACTGCAGCATGGCTCTACCATGTAAAATGCCTATTTTTAGCACGTCTTGTAGTTATACCGCTTGTTTTATTTTAACATATTATAGAGATGTCGTAAGATTCACAATCAACTCAGTCAAGATGTCTTGATTATGAAAGTGACATAGGGTATGAAATGGTTCTTTTTTCAGTAAACCTTTTTACGCAGTTGTTTCTCTTTTAAATTACTGTTTTAACCATTTGGCTTGTTACAATCAGCTTATAACTAAATTAATAATATTTGGAAAATTCAAAAGTGCACGCCTCATGATCGTTTCATTTAATTTTGATGTAGATTGTATTCCTGACTTTTAAAATATATTATTTACGTGTTTTAAATTTAGGGCTCTATTATTTTAACAGGTAGTGTTACCTACAGGAAAAAAATAATGATGTTTACCAAAATAAATAGATTACACAAAATATAAGATTGATATAGGCTGTATGCTACATTTGTCCTTTGTCTATAAAGGTCTAAAAATATATGAAAGCCCTTTAAATTTTTGATTTTAGAAGTTGAAAATCATTTTATTAACAAACTACGGGTACTAGGCTATTGGGAACCAGTTGTAAGTTGTTGCTGATGTAATTTTGAAGCTAATAAAAACCCGGTTTCGATACGTCTATTTTTATGGGAGTTATCATGACCACATACAAAATCTACATCCGGACATCCACGCAAAAAATGTTTAGAACGGTTTTTTTGAAAGTAGCAATATAAAATGATTTTTTAGAAAATATAAGATGGATTATATATTGAGTTGATATACGGCCATTGAGCTATTATGTACTAGAGGCGACACTGCATTTACTTATGCTGTACCATTCAATTGCGACTTGAGCTCCGCACTTTACCAGGCCTCTGTCATTCTTGCTACCTGCGTGAAATAGTTATCTAAAATCGCGATTCACCCAGGGTGTAAAACGCAGTCGGGGCTAGCGCGTTCTAGACGATTGATGTATTTTTTACGCTGTTTACGTAAATAGTTTTTTGTAAACACTTGTAATTTTTATTTAGTGTTTAATATTTAACTGTAGGATAAAATAGTTCAAATTTTTTTAATGTGATTTAAAAATAATATATGCGTATATAACCTATCTATTTGATAAATAATAATAACAAAACTTCGAACCTATTATAATTGTTGCGTGGATGGATGAATAATGAGCAAACAAAAGGATTCAGATACTTGTATCATTTTTAAGTTACCTAAGGATAATGAAAGGTACATTTATTTCATTTTTTTTAAATAAATACTTATAGCAAAAAGGAATTACGTAATGATTTAAATATAGAAGTAATACCTACCTAAGTACTTTATTATAAAACTTACTTAAAATTTACGTAGATAACTTAAGAAATTTACGTAGCTAAATTGAAGTGGTAACTTACATGTCTTTTGTAATTAAAATATTTTAAGTTATTACAAAGCACTGAAATTAAAACTGTTTACAAGATTTTTAACCAATTAGAATACAACCAGATTTCATTTAGGAATCGTATTTCAGGTTCATTTGTTGTTTACACTACCTATTTCTTCCTAGTGATTTATTAAATCGCGATTCGCGACGAGTGTCCTTGCACGTTGCATGCGTTAGCCACAGAATTCGCATAGTTAACCCTTGATTTACCACCCTAATTAAAATATCACTTATCACCACCATGAGTCCCCGGGACTCATGTTTTAATTTTTTAAATAATAACTAAGCGAAGGATGTTATTTATGTTGTTATTTATTAGACTTCAAGCAAACACAATAATTCGTACATATCCGGTAACATTTTGTGATAAACTCAAATTAAAATGCAGTTTACAATTACTTTAAAATTAACAGTCATCAAAAATCGTCTGTTACGACTTACAGAAGAAAAAATAAATGTTGTAGCTCTTGGACGAAATAAAATATTTTTTCTTGTAGACGACATTATGAGATAATTAAAAATAATAATAATAATTAATAGTGTCACTATACAAAATTTCAAAACGTGCAATAAGTTAACATACTAATGTGTTAAACATTCTTCGCATTCATCTTTTTGCAACAAGTAAGGCAGATTGGCTTCTTACAGACAGTTACAGTGTAAATACAAGCAGTCTTTGTTCGTTTCTTATGATTGCAAGTATAGCAATATTTGAGCTGATCTCTCGGTAAAATATTATCAGTTTGCGTTGTAATTGATTGATCAGGAATGTCTAAGTCATGGTATGTTGTACAAGTTACTAAGGATAGTATAGAAGTTCAAAAGAACAGGAAAGAAAAGAAGAACAGGAGTTCTTCATTCTCGGAGCATTCGGAATTGGTGTCGTGATCACTCACAATATAATCGGCGTCCGCGTTATCAGAATATGGCTCACGAATACATTTAGCTGCATAACCACTGCCATCGCCAATCTCCTCATCTTCGCCCAGTAAATAATATTCTTGCAGCATCATTCAAGAAAAGAAAAGAGCTTACTCCTTTTTAAAGGGCCGACTTTTAAAGGGCACCTGCAATTCCTCTGGAGTAGCGGATGTTCATGGGCGGCGGTGGTCACTTAACATCAGGTGGACCGTATGCTCGTTTGCCTCCTCTTCTATGAAAAAAAGACATTCATTTATGATATCTGAGGCTAAATCATCTGCAAACTTTACCGATACAATCCTTCTACGTTTAGATGCCATAGTAAAAGCCTAAAACAAAATTAACATAGATAAACAAAAAAAGTCAGTAAATTCATTTGTGTCACACAACACTCCACCATGAGTCCCTGGGACTCACACTCGATCATATTTACCTTTCCGAACGACGTGCGCATGCCACCGCTCACCTCTGCGCCCCGCGCCTCACCGCAGCAAGGTACTAGAAAGCGCAAGTCTAAACTCTAAAAAATAAACTACTTTTTTGTTGTTTAAAAGTGGTGGTGAGTCCCGTGGACTCAGGGTGGTGCATTAAGGGTTAAATATGTTCATTCAATCAGTCAGAATAGGTAACTTACCTCTTTTACTTACCATTTCGCAACGTTTAATTAATCAATTAATTTACACTCTTTATTGCACACAACATACAAATTTATATACAATTAGGTGGCCTCATCGCTTAACACTGATCTCTTCCAGGCAAACCTTGGTAGCGTACGAGTATAGCACTACATATTATTTATACTACGCATTGGTGAAGGAGATCCGTAAATAGAAGTATGCATAAATAGTAGATAAATAAGCATATATTACTACATATTATAAGCTTAATAAGTACCTACTTACATGTGTTTTAAATATATTTTTAATATATT